GATGCTGCACAGATGACACATTTTCAGATTACTCATACGAATTTCCTGAGTATGAATGTGAGCTTGCACTGGAAAGACCAATATCCTTGCCAAGGAAGCTGAGGTTTGAAAGGGAATCCTTTGGTAACCTGGGGGGCCAAAGGGATGAACAGTTCACTCACAAAGCTGCTTTTGCCTAATACTGTGTTGTTCAAACCATGTCTGAAAAGGGAGAACACCCTGAGAAAACGCTGGGCCCTTTTAAGTTCCAAATTTATGGCTTGACCATTTGTTCAGGAAATTGGTGAGTTTTAACCACACCTGCTTAAAGCTCCAATTAGTGCACTAAGTAAAGCTGTGAGCTTTTGATGAGCAGGCTGGGGCTCACACTTCAGCTTTCAGTCACTGAAGGAGCAAAGTATCATTTTTTTAAGTCTGTTTTATTTTTAAATATATATATTTGGCAAATTTTGTATCCATAAAGTGCCTTGGAATAACCTTCTAGTACTATGGGCTACAGCCTTGCCTCCCACCACCTGCTATCAACACACGGTGCTATAACTTCCACCCAGAGGAGGGCTAAACCATAACACCTTTTCCAGCTGTGTACTTACATTATCCCTGTCTTCTGCTTTGGTTATTTTTAATACCTTCACAAATGAATTCCAAAATATTCCTGACAGCAAGCAGCCCTGTGCTGTCAGAAGGACACTGATGGCAATGTACACCTCCTGGTAAGCTGTTCATGGTGGCAGCTCGAGCGCAGCCAGAACCTGAAGCTGAACTCAAACAGTGAGTAGAGGGGAGAGAGGGTTTGGACAGACTTGGTTAAAGATATTTTTTAACACAAATATCGAGGAAGTCAGTCATTTCCCCAAGTGTTCCTGCACTTTCCCTATTTCTGGGAAAATGTGCTTTACAGCTAACTACTTCCACAGGCAGAGAGGCCCATGAATCCCTATTTCCCATTCTGGAGAGGCTTCCTGAAGCCACCCAAAGGACTCCCTGGGTTTATTACTAGCAGGGCTGTGTGCGCCCTCGAGCCAGTCCCATGCTGCTTGGGATAAATCCCTGGAAGCAGGAAATGTAGCTGTCCTGGAGGGAAAGCATCATCCTGACTGCCCTTGGGCTCCTCCCCCCATCACTGCTGCTCCTGCACCCCACACAGCTCCCGGCCCAGGCTGGGGCAGCTGAAACGAAGGAGACCTGCTCTGCCTCCAGGGAGAAGTGGAACCACAGACAGATATTCCCAAAAGGCAAGTACAGTCATTCAGCATTTGTTAGAACATTTTGTCAAAACCAAAAACTCAAGGGACAGTGAACTGGAGAAGTTCCAACTTTTTCCAATTAAACTGTTTAGAAAGGAACAGCAAACATGGGCACTATCAGAACACGTATTTAAGGTATTTCAGATTCCTGGCATGGAACAATATCCACATTTTGAAATTACCTTTCTTCGTTAACCAAAAGAAATAAAGGCCAAAATAAAACATTCAGACTTTCATCTAGTCTTTGAAAAGAAATGTTACATCATGCTTTAGTCACAGTTCAGGACAATCGGATTTTGAACTGTGGAAATTCCTGCCAGTCCAGCTCTGCTGCCCACTGCATGGAAAAGTAGCGAAACATCCCGTTAAAGGAGCGGATTCCTGGATGTTTACCACACAAAGTGCTTCAGCAACCTCAACGACTCACCTTTTTTTTTACAATTGAATTTATTAATGCCTTATATGACTATACAGCAGATCAGTTTGTCAGATACACAGTCCAAGTCCCTATGCAGTTTTGTTTTTAAAGGAACATTTGGGATCAAATCCTGCTCTGTCAGGTGCTGACCTCTGCCTCTGTCATACTCAATCATGTTTGCCTTTCATGTTGATTGTATCCCAGATAAAACCAGTTGTGTGGCAGAATAAACTAATCAAAGGTGATGTGAAAAATATCTTAAAGCAATAGTGTCTGTCAGGACAACACTTATACTTTGTATGTTTATATGGTCTGGCTTCATGTATAAAATGTTCAGAACACTGTATTATACTGTAAACTAAAATAGTAATGCATGAATTTATATTTTTCAATGGTCAAGGTGCCGTTAATTTAAAATCTGTGTCTCAAATAAATTTGGATACAAGTTTCCAATGTCCAGCTCTTACATCAGATTCCACAAGCTGATCTGAAAAGATTATTGGAACTTGCTTTATAATTTCCTTCAAACTAGAAAATGGCATCAAACATTATTGTCTCAAATCAAAGAAACCAACACTCTTCAGAGCTACTGGGGACATCAGAGCTGGGCCTGGAGCTGACCCACCTGCTTCACACTGCACAGACAAGGGAAGAGGGACCATGACAAACCCATCTATCACATCTCTACATCGGACACTATTGCTACCACCATGTACAATGGATATTTATCACCATGAACTTAAAATAAACACAAATATATTAAACTTGCCTCAAGAATGCAAAATGCTGATAGTATTTTATGTCTATAAGCTTTATTGATACTTGGGGTTTTGGGGTTGGTTTTTTTTCTTTTTTTGTTGGTTTTTTTTACATTTCACAATGCATTCCACAGACTTAGTTCAGTACAGCTCAAACTGCAAGTGTATAAATTTTCACTTACTTCTTGCATAACAGAACAGGGCTTTAAGTTTCCAAACAACATTTGCAGCATTAGATACTCGGTCCACAGATTATCAGAGTCTGAGAGCTGGAGAAGTATTTGCTCAAGATCAACTACTGTACATTTGTGCAACAAAGTGTATGGTGTAATTTTCTTTTACTCTGTGTGGAGGTTCTTTGTTCGTTTCTCTTTAGTTGTTTCCAACAGATGCCAGTGTTTACACAGACCTTTTAGTTTCTCAAGCTTGTGTGCTATGGAGCTAGTCCAGGCCTCAGTCAGTTCTCTGAAGTATGGAGCACTGTGGAGCAGCTGAAAGATCTAAGCTTTGTGAAACACATATATATATATTGGCAATTGATAAAACAATAAAATCACAATACAGCTATACTCATACCAAAAAGGCAAGATTTTTTTAAAACTTGCTAAACTGGTATATTCTTCTAGAACATCTCATTTTAGAAAATCTGCATCAATCTACACAGACCATACACAGTGCACAAACTGGGAAGTAAGTGTTCTCCTCTGCCCCACCTGCACTACACCTCTGGCACGCAGCAGGAACTACCTCTGATGAAGCAAAATGTACAGCTGTCTCACTCGTTTGTATTAGCCAGTGCTGCACACAGGATAAGGAAAGATGATTAGTTTTAGATCCATATATAGCAGCTTACAATACTTAAGATGATGAAACACATGGCAGTCAAAACAGTTATTTTTCCTCAAACACTGCGTCGCTAAAAAATAAAGATCTGTGAAATTGCACTGCAATGTCAAGGGGTTTGCTATTCCCTGACCCTCCCCGTGTAAATCCAATGAGTATTTTTCCCCCTTAAAAGATGAACTTCCTATTGATAAGTTGCTTCAGGCTTTTTTTTTTTTTTTTTTTTTACTCAGTTTTGCGCTTCAACCCAGGGATCTTTGCTTGGATCCTGCAAGAGGAAGAAGGAAAAGAACAGCATTTGAGCAACAAAACAGAAAAAAGTAGGTGCAGACATAGTCTTAAAAACTGCAACAAGTGAAAAGAGCTGTCACAGGAACACAAAACTATTACAGGCTAATGAAGTTGCTAAATTGTTCACTGCCCCTCAACTGCACCAACTCAGGGGCTCAGGTGTCACTGATAATTCAATTACAAATCTGTTAGAAATAATACAGGATAGTGATAATTAAATAAATGCTTATCAAATTTCATTATTATATTTATTAATACAAAAATCAATTTATTAGCGTTAATTAAATGCTATAATGTTAAAGTAACAACAGGACCAGCAAGAAGGGAGCTGATTTCCTGCCATTCCAGAGTTAAATTGAGGCCTTTTTTCCCCCCTAGACCTGGCACATGTAATAACTAACACATCTGTCCCAGACAGGAGTAACACATGTACCAGGAACTGTATAAAGGGAAATTTGAGAAAAACAAACCAAATCAACTTACTTTGCCATGGCATCTTTGACATTCTTGTTCACAAGTCCCAAGTAATGGTCGATTTGGGCCTGAAATTGCAGCAGACAGAAGTTATGGAGCTCAGCCCCTCGCTCTGCTGCGCAGCACGCAGAGGCCCACGGAACCCTGACGGAGGGTGGGAACTCAACCATGGGTATTCCCCAGTCTGGTGCCAGAGCTCCCACGCCAGCAGTTGCCTCCAGGAATGCACATACCACAGGGTACACCAGGCAAGCACCCAAATAAGCTAATCCCTGGCTTCTGCCTGTTCCATCACATGGGTCCCCAGTGCTTCTCCACGCGCTGGTGCAATGGCCAAGGGTCCCTCTCTGGGCACACGGAGCAGGAAAGCTGCTTAGGTGGGCTGGGCCTGGTAACCAGCTTATGCCTTCAGCCCAGCAAGAGGATTGAGGAGCCTGGGCTATGCCACACAAACTGTCCATCCTCTGTCCCTGGGGCTGCAGGGCTTCCTTTCACTGCAGAGGAGGAGCTCAGAGGACCACATGAGGCTCTGCCATCTGCTCCTGCCCTCCCTGCAGGCAGGCCCAGCCTGGCCTCCACGGCAGCCTTGTTTTTGAAAGGGGAGAAGGAACGGCTAAGCCAGAGCTGGCTCCCCCCTCCTGTGCTCTCAACCTGCTCAAGACAGTCCCAGCTATAATTCAATCATACACGTTTTATTTTGGTTCCTTCTTCCCTCCTTCTTTTACAGGGGTGGCTCTCCCCCTGAGCAGCATTGGACCAGGCCAAGCATCTCCCACCTCCTGTTTTTGCCAGGGATATGAATTCCACAGGCCTTCAGGAAACCAATCCTGAGTATCAGCTCCAAATACATTTCTTCAGAAATTGTCTTAGAAGTGCTTACA